TAAATATAGTCAGTAGTTCAACAATTCCTACGGAATATCTGGTTACATACGATGACAGTGGACAAAATGATAGTCGTTAGTAAAACACACTGATTAGTGTGCAGACTATATGTTCCGAAGATCAAAGAGGTCAGTTGTATTGATGCAGGCTGTCTGAACATAGTTCAACCATTTCTGCTTTTATTCATGCAATATTTTAAGATTCATACTTTCTGAAGTTGTTTTGCGGTTCAAATAATGTACGAAATATACATTATTTAGAGATGAATAGAAACTACCGTAATTTCAGTAATATTTTAACGTTCATTGTTTCCTAAACAAGCGAAAATGTGATTTATTGGTAGAAGAAATCGTCATTTTAAAGTGTACTCCTCCTATCCAGTCAAGCCGTATACTACTAGTTCACTCTTCTTCATATATTGATGAACAAAGTGATTGAGCTTATATAAGTAGATTACGTGTTGACAACTAAACAGGCCAAATATCGATTAATCCCAACTTGTCCCATCCCAAATACAGACAAGAATAATTTGTGCAGAGTCGGTATTAGTAAGTTAATTACCACCCCACAAAAGTATCAAATTCAGCAACAGGGGAGCACCAATCACCTACATGCTTCTGGCAGTATGCAAAACTCAACTGACCTATCTAATCTTTGCTCTTTCTTTAACATTCATTACTGGTTCGTGTTACTAACACTATTCCCCCTATACTTTCTAAAACCCAATCCTCGACCATCCTTGAAGATTCGAGCCAGAGAAATGCCATTTGTTCTCTTCTAAACCAACACTGCCTATTTCCCATTGGGGGTCTCGATGTTTAGACCCTGTGCCTAATCAAACAAAATACTGCACTAGACCAAGTAACAGAATCTTGGGCTGTTTACCTGTATTATTTTCTGGATACACGCACTTATTATCTAGGTGTAGTTATTCCCTTAATTCCATCTGATCCTTGTGATAAATTTGCGAAATTCACCAGTGATTTCGTGGTTAGCTCCCATGAACTCGTGGATGTATGCATAACATTAATTTCCAGATCAGAAAGCATACTTCTCTACTACATACAGCAATTTCTGCACTTCCCACGTAGATGGACTAGTAAAAACTAGAAATGACTGTGACACTCTTTGATATCTATTCGTAGTCTCCATATGAACACCCACTAACTGCTTTTCAGACAATGCAGAGGATGAGTTTTAACAAAAGTTGCCCATTTTTTCTACATATAGCAAAACGTCGAAATACAGTCGTAATAGAAGGTGACTTCAGCGATCTAGTAAGGAAGCTGAGCTAATGGAGAAGGCATGTTGGAGATATCTGCGGATGAATAAATGACAGTCGTTGTTTTCTTCATTTTTCTTCTGACAAGCTCTTGTTCCTGACCTGCACTAGGATCACACGTAAAGGGAGATGTTATCTTACGTGCTATTCAACCACAACCAAGGGGAGACAGATTATATCCCTGTAAATCATCGCTAGAGAGGAAGAGAGCAGGATTGCAGATATTTTTGACACACCTACTTGAACTCTATGTCTTAGTTCGGGTATTTATGTTTCTATTACTTGATGAAATCAGCAAACAAAGCTACAAAACGTCTCTGTACACAGCTTGAATATGAGAATATCCGGTCCATATTTAGGGAGGAGATAACTGAGCATTTTCCTGAAAACGGTAACAGTTCTTATCCTGGTGAGGTCTACTGTAATATTTAGTCTGCTATTGAAACACTGATTAGCGGAAGACTGAAGCTCTTCAGCATCACCCAAACTGATTGAGGTGGGAAGACTCGTTGCGGCTGGCGCCGATAAGGAATCTTATTAATGACTATGAGCAGTGGTGGATAAAGAAGATGACAGATAAACGCATCAATACTAGGTAACACTAGGCATTTATATACCTTTGTCGGATAGACAGACCCAAAAAAGTCATGGTTAGTCAGAATATTAGTGAGAGGAAGAAAGCTGGGACATGGACGGTCACACTTTGAAGCCCAGTTCGAATAATTTGTCGTCCCGCCAACATCCAGTCTCAACTTGTATACGGTGTAGTTATTGCTTCTTTAACTCAGGGAATTTAGGAAGGCTGTTTCAAATCTGAAACAAAGTAAAGTAGTATGATCTGATGTCTTTCCACTAGATTTTTTTAAGCATGTAGGTAGAAAATTACTGAATAGAGTAGTAGAAGTACCAGAAGGTCTATAAGATTCAGAGTCAGACTGATATGAATCGTTTATCAAAGAAGAGAGAATATTTCCTGTGAAATCTGTGGGGGAACCACTCTAACTAAGATCATATCTTAGATCATAGGGTCTATAGTTATTCTAATCCTAACTCAAACTCGAGAAAGTGAAACACGTTTTAGACCTAGATGAGAGTGCACTGATCAGGTTTTCGAACATCGATAGCTTTTAGAATACATGCCTCACACATTACCTTATACAACAGTTGGTATATTTCTTGGTTTGTAAGCAGTAATTGAATTTTCCTATCAGATGTTGTGGTAGTGTCTGATTGTTAAGAAATTACCAATCAATTATATGATACTACCTAAGGTTATCTACTCAAACTCATGTAGCTGTGTTATCGCTTGAGATAACGACAACCACGAGCGTCTCCAAGTGATATTACGAGTCACCATTGGCCGTAAACTTTTTATAGACGTTTCGACGGATGTGGCTGTAAGCATCTGCAACTTCTCAGGGATTAATCCACTACCCATAGGGTACCTGGTTGACTTTTGAGATGATGTATAACATTTTTAGCTCAGGAGGATAATTTTTTGTTGTCATTGTAAACGACATCATCAGCACAAACTTCTGAATTTCGTGCTGATGATATCTAGAATGACAACAAAAGCTTTACGATTAAATAATCCAGCTCAGAATACACAGCACCATGAAAGGACATGATTCTGCTAAATAAAGACACTAACGAATTGCCACAACTATCCGGCTTGTCCGACCGTACGTGCAGTGTGGTCGTTGAAAGTAATTTTTCGAGATTCCCCGGCCCCTGCTGAAAGTAAATATTAGGAGGGTACAATATTTTGATTGAAAGTGTTTTCGCAGCATTGTTCGTGTGTTGTCGATTCATTTATGGGCATATTTCAGGTTAGGTATGAAGTACTGGGCAAGAAAGATAAGCCATTCGATGTGGTTATGAATATTCACTAGGGCATGGGCTGTGCATCCTGAGCGAAGAGTTACCCAGACCCGCTTTTTAGCCATAGGACGTTTTTGTTAATGGAATGCTAAACGAACGCATGTTGTCAGCCTCTAAAATTTCTGATTCTTTAACTGACTACAGTAATCTTTATTTATTTACTACCCTCTCGTACATGTTTACTGATTCAGTATCTTTTTTTCTAGCTTTTATTTCTTTGCATGCTACTGTGGATTGTGGCTACTTGAACTGACACACTTCTGAGCTGGATTCAACGTTGATCTATCTGTTTTTGTCGTATTCACAGATAACTTTACAAGATAAGAGAAAGGAGGCAAGAAAATGTTCATCTGAGTGGGTTTAGTTTTTGATAGTTGTATGAAACATCAATTTCGGTGTGAGTAATTTGTTTGTATAAAAATAATGACATCACATCCAAGGAAAGATACACACATTGTCCATTAAGTGAATAAAAAGAGAATTGCATGTCTTTCCAAAAGTAATTTTCGTAAACAAAAAAGTAAATCTGACTCAATATAGGGAGCTTTTACCGTTTCATCCTTAGGATTATTGTAGATTGACTGTTTATATACAGGATTATAACAGACACAGAAAGCTTCAGCTAGTTAGTTCATTGTGCTTCACATGCACTGGACCACTTATTTGGTATAGTCTTTTCTACTGTTATCGCCTTGACATTCAAGAATGTAGTACAGGCTGAATATATAGATCTAATTTTTATTCGAAGACATGCCTAAATGATACTGAGATAATACTTCTTCGGGGAGGGGGGGGAATGGTAAATATTTTGGGATATCCTAGCGAAAAGACATTGTTCCGCGTTACAAATGTTACGTTTGAGTCTATTGCAGTGATTCACCTTGACAAGTCTTCATATAGAGTTTACAGGAGTGTTTAATATTATGTACAACATTACAAGGCTATCCTGAGTCCTTATACAGTACAAGCGGACCAAGTTCACTATTTCATTCTCTGACCAAATGAGTTGAAAAGGCTTTTACTACCTTAGTGGCCCTCTTATAGAATTTATTTAGTAACTGCTTGTTTCGTGCCGTGTGCTGGGTATGTGATGACCCCATATTCTATGTATACGGACAAATATAGTGTAGGATCTCGAGATTATATTTTGTTAGTCAACCCACCACTCTCCTAGCGTCCCTAACATTATGAGTTTTCTTTTCAGTGGTAGACATTTATATAAAGCCTATTAAACTATCAGGCATCAGGAATTTAAGGTGGCAATTTTCATTGATCTTCGGTAATATACTCTTGCAAAGCATCGGATGTGCATTACTTCCCTTGTGCTTGTTCAAAGTTCTAAGTGATTTTATATTGTCAGCAAAATTGTTTTCCTTAATTCAGTTTTTAATATATAACGGTTACTACTATTACTGGTTTTTCCCCGGATTTTAAAATCATCCACAAATGTTGCAGCCATTTATCTTCATCATAGAGTGATGGTTCTCAAAAGAGGAACGAAATCAGGTTAGTAGTTAGCTGGCAGTGCTCACTTTGCCTAGTAAGCTATGATGGTTGACACTGTCAAAGGCGTTTCAGACACTAAGTTAGATCATATTTACTTGTTTGTTTGTCGAATTCAGTTGTCTTTTTGTAGGATCCTACAAGTAACTTACAAAAACAGTTCTTTATGAACTCCAGTTGTTCACCATTATTATTGTTGTTTTTTGTCCCTTGGGTTCCTAGTGGAACATAGGACTTCACTAGCACGTCTACATTTCACTCTGTTCCCTGCGATCTTTTGAACCTGGCTTCACGACTGCCCAGAAGCTTTCATTTCTTCCTCGCACGATATCTTCCATGTCACCCTCGGGCGCCTAATTCATCGTTTCCCCTTTGGATTCCATTCGAGGGCCTGGCGCATGATGTCCCCGAATGGTCTTCTCAGTGTATGCCCGATCCAATCCGTCTCCACTTTCTGCATATTTATTGGGCGATGGGTTCCTGGTTGGTTCGTTGCTACCCAGAGTTCCTTGTTGGTCATTCTTTCTGGTTATCTGATCTTCAGTGTCGAGTGAGCGTAGATGGCATCTGTTGATGAACGTCTGTAGTTTGTTGGAAATGCTTTTCGTAACGCGCCAAGTTTCTGAACCATGCCGTTCAACATTGTGACTACCTATCATCTGCTAGGGATTCTGTATTGGAGTTATTACTACAAAAATACACTGAAAATGTAAAGTGGAAGGGCTTCGAGCAGTAGGATTTCTCATAAACCTTCGTAGGTAAAGGTAGGAAAGTCAGACATCCAAATTACAGTCGATTTGTAGTTATTGCTGAAGTAAGAACACAGAATTGTCAAAAAACCTGCGGATGAAGCATACTTTTTGAAATTTAATGTTTAAATATGCCTCTTGTTAGTAGAACGAAGTTGAGATAATGCATTATACTTGGATTTAGATGTTAATTATGATAGCAAAATTACGTTTTCAGAGTTATCATGTAGGTTATATGCTAACGAAATATTTTTTGGGAATTATGATATGTCGAGCTATTATTAAGGGCTATGATTTCTAGAAAATCAAAAATAATTTTTTAGTAACTAAGACAAACATTTGATTCTTATCTATGTTTTTATGGAAAGCATCTATTAGATTATAGAAAGTAAAATTCGTTGTATCAAGATAAGCGTGTAAACGCTCATACCATGACTATGAATTTTTATAATTACTTTTCATTGAATCTGACTGTCTTCAATGCATTTATCTAGGAAAAGAGATACTTCTATGGCTTGAGGATGTACTGTGCTGTGTCGAGAAACTCAAATTCACTTTCAAAAACCCTGGATTCCAAGAAAAATATTATTTTGTTATTGTATGATATACAGGTTCATTGCTTGAGTGACTTTTGTATCCCCTCTAGTATTTTGCAGTTATCAAAGGGAAGTTATGCCAATTCATTTTTGTTCCAAGACTAAAATTGAGTCTGTTTAGAAATAGTGCATCATTTTTTCAAAATGATTCCTTAATAATAAACTATGAAATCTGTGATATCCGACTGTCTATTAAGGGTAGAGTGTACTGTGCTGCAGTTTGCTCTGTTCTGCCATATGGTTATGAAGCATGGCCATCAATGTTAGAAGACATGAAAAGCTTCAGGTTTTCAACCACCGTTTGCTTTGAAATATGGGCAGTTTAGTGGTGTAATCACATCAGTAATGTAGAAGTCATGAGAAAAGGTAAGTTGGTTGATGAGGTTGTGAATCTTCATTGGTTTAGGTGACTAGGACGTATGTTGCTCATGCTTAGTCACCGTTTGCCTTTGCATAATGTGAGCTGAGTTGGGCTTAGGCTAGAGAAGGGTTAGAGATAACCTGTTTAAAATGCTGCACCAGTCCATGAAGTCTTCGACTGCTGGTCTGACTATCCGGTTGGGGTCTGCGTAACGACATAAAACAGTGGTTGGAGATTGTAGGTGACATGGTTCAGAATCGATCGCAGTGATACAGATGTATACAAACATTATCTTCATATTAATCGTCATAGTGAATTGAGTAATTTTTTATCCCTACGTGTTATCTTATCACGAAGCTGTAACACTTTTCACTTCTTTCTTTGTTATTTCCTTGTCTTTCATCTTAGTTCATTCCTGCTTGTTGCGCTGGTATGATGTTTAGCGACTTTGCTATACAGTGCTACCTGGTCCTATGTTGAGCTTGTCTGTCTGTCCCTGTTGCACTTATTTCCGTGATCCCTTTCACCAGGGGTTCCACAAATTCAGTGTTTTCAGTACTTTGTTTTTGATAAGCTGAACTGGAATGATAAACTTTTTCCAGTTAAAATGGACCTATTGCATCTCAGAGGAGTCTTTTTCTCACTCGCAATCATTTAACCTTTCGGTTCTTACTATGGATGGCTTCAAGCCTTCTAGAGAATTTCGGGAAGGTAGGAAGCAATAGACCTAATTCAAGACATGCATTAGCACCTCATACTTCAGGTTAATCATCTAGTAATTGCGTCAACATTTAGGTACTGGGTCCAACTTTGATCGATTGACTGTATAAAGCTAATATAATGTTCAGTAGGTGTCTGTCCGAAATTGTAACAAAGTTATAACAGAAACTTTCTGCTTCTCATTGGATCTTGAGGAAATCATAGTCACTTATGACGACTAGATGGTAATATTCTTCAAGCAGGTTGATTTGTTGTAAATACAATTTTATAAACAGGTCAGAGATTGCTGTCAACATGTATACGAGAAAATATTCCGACCTGGTTTTATAAGGGCGAAAAAAAATTCATCAGAAGTTCCATCCTTGAGCATTTAATCGATCCCAACCATTCAACCTACCCAAACAAGGATTTTAAGGTTTTCTATCGAATTCGCTCAAACACCTCACGTTTCTTTCGTATTCAGCTAAAAACAGCAGAAGCCTTGGCTATCCATGAACTGAACCCTGACCTTCATGTACATAAGAAGTATGTACAGTCTTTGTCTCTACCTTAGCCTTAATTCATTTTAGTTTTGATGTGCTTCGTTTTTCACCCTCCTCCCTCTTTTTTCTCCCCAGATTAATCTTCGTACTCTTATATCGTCATTATCACCTTATATTTAATCGTTTTCGGTGTTGTTTCATTTGATCTTCCTAATAATCGTAACTTTTAACAAAACATTTTCAGTTTACTGCAATTAATTTGTCTCACTAATATTACCAAATCCTTTGATTATTTATCAGTTCTATCACGTTCTCACCCCTTTGAATCTATTTGCACTTTATAAACGATTTAAAATCCTACGTAACCCTTTTTGTTATTATTCGACCTTTACGTCATCAACTAGCAACATTATAATTATAACTACCATTATTATTTATAGTAATGATGGATAGTGGCTAGCAGTGAAATCCAGGATGCGCAATTCGTCCTATTTGGGACTCGTCAGCTGGATGTACCTGCTTCCAGAAACTACACAGCATTATTATTGTTTCAACCCCCCATTATAAGATAAATCTTCCTCACGAATAACAGTCTTCAAATATCACATATATACGAGTATACAGCTTGAGAATAAATGCACTGAAAAGAGTCTTCTTTGCTGAATATCTTGTTTTTGATGTCACAATTTTACAAGCAAAAATAAATTTCTGTACCGAGCTTGCTCTGCAATTCTTACCTATATATATATATATATATATATCCGTATATATGTATATCAAAGAAGTATTCATCATGGACAGACGTTTGTATATAATGAATACTACCTTGAAATCAATGAAGTAGTCGGCGCATTCACAGCGAGACCTAAAGATCCTGAGTTCGGTCCCTGGTGAGGTTGTGGGTGTGTGCTGCTGAGAAGTTGCATACTAGGACAAAACAGCTGTTCAGTGCTCTTAGGTATTCAATGGTTCTCCAACTGATGTCAGTCCGTGATGAATAATATCCCCATAAACCTCAAACTATGTATATAAGCTGTTATTTGTTTTCACTACCGGTTGTATAGAGAAGAATTCGGTTTCTTTTGAAGGGGAAAAGTAAGTGATTTCATTATTGTTCAGAGTTTTGTCAAAAATACTGATTAACTTGATAATGAAAAAAATGTTTCATGGAATTTCTAGAAGTGAAGCTATTCCACTATATTATTATCATCGAAGTGAGGCTGTTTATGGAATACATGAAATGGTTTCTGAACGCATTACATAATCATTCTGTTACTGTAGTAAGAATTCGGAATTGCTAGTAAACTAGTCGATGAAACTCTTCTGTATCACTGCAGTGTTGTTGATTTCTACATGATTACACTAAATGAAAGTTTAAGGTAAAAGATATTTGGGTGTGTCACGTAACAAAATACGAATACATACATACAGTTATATACAAGGAAATGGGATGAGAAAATCGTGTATAGGAAATATGATGACGTAAACTAGTGTAAACACATTCTTGATTTATCGACAGATGTTTGTGATATCAGGAAAGAAAGGTATGAATAGAAAAAGAAGAAATTTTACTAAGCAAGAAACGTAATCAAGGAGTAATGTTAATGGTGGAATAAAATGAAAAAAAAGTGATACTCGTAAAGAAATATGAATAATCAAGCAGGAGGCAAGTTCCTACCTAATGCTTTTATTCAGCTTATTTTAAAAAATTAAATTATCATGAATCATGAATTGATTTGGAAGTGAAGTAGAAGAAAACAGTCAACTTTGAACTATTTTCTTATGATTTAATTGCTCTATTGATGTAAGCAGAAGTTATCAGAAGACTACACTGTTACCACGATTATTATTCTTTAATTAAGACCACACATAAGGACAAAATAACACATTCATATCCATTCAGTCATATGACACTGGGAATATTCGATGGAAAAATTAAGCTCAAAAATTTTTTAAAGTTACACTTCACTTGACCTTAGAAACCAAACAAACACTACTATCAGATCAATGGAGAGCCACTTGAATAAATTAAAAGGAAAAAAACACGTCTCTTTGGAAAATAAAAATGAATCCATTTTCTTTCACTAGATAGAGTAATTGTTTGATGATAAAACCTTCCCAATTTACCATCAAAGTTTAAAGAACACAAAATTATTATCTTCCTTGTGAATTCATACAACTAGATGACTTTTGTAAAATGAAAATAACTTAAAGTCACTATGGATTATTAATAATAAATACTCAATGTAATTGTGTTATAGTTTTATTTTACAACTGAATTTTGGAAATGATAAATTGAAGATACTAATGTCAAAAAACATAGTGAGTCGTTATCAAAATCAATAATCAAAGAAAAACAAGTACTTAAATAAACCTATTGTTTTTTCATATGTTTGTGTATACAGTTATAAAACTACAGTAATAAGTCTGTTTATTTGTATTCTTTGAATTCGGAACCAGTGACTAAAGAGTAAAGTACTAACTGAAAGTTATGCACCAGATCGTCAATAAAGTTGTAGTTGTGTAGTGATGCAGGAGTTTCATGTTAGGTTGAAATAGTTTTCTAGTTCTTCTTGATATTTTAATTTTTGTCCAGTAGTTATTATTATTATTAGACCTTTGGGTTCCTAATGGAACATAGGGCTTCACTAGCACGTCCTCATTACACTCTGTTCTCTGAAATCTTTTGAACCTGGCTCCACGACAGCCTACAAGCTCTCACTTCCTCCTCGCACGATCTCCTCTATGTCACCCTCGGACGTCCAACTCGTCGCTTCCCATGGGGATTCCACTCGAGTGACTGGCCTGACGCGTGATGTCCCCAGTCGGCCTTCTCAGTGTATGCCCAATCCACCTCCACTTCCTTCCAGTGCATATTTGTTGCGTGATAGGTTCTTAGTTGGTTCGTTCCCAGAGCTCCTTGTTGCTTATTCTTTCTGGCAATCCATCTGATCTTCAGTAGCGAGCCAGCGTGAGCAGTTGTTG